TATCATCTAAAAATACGTATTAGATATTAAAAACATGTTTATATCATAAATAAATTAAACTTGATTTTTATAAAATTTAACATATTTATTTTATATTTTTAATAGTGTTAAATTATTATAAAGTAGGTCTTTAAAGTTGTAGTTCTAACAAAAAATTTAAAAAATGTCTACGATAGATAAATAAGTCATACTTAGGATATATATTTTTTAAAAACGTTAGGTTCAAACCTATTAAGTTATAATAAAATTTAGTCTAACCTAATTTATTTTCATATTTACTTGTAATCGTAAATATAAAAAATTGTAAAAAATAATTATAATAATATATTTATGCTTTTAAAAGTTATATATGTAAAATTTTTAATATTATAAATATATAAATAAATATTGTCTCTATTATCTAAAATTTCTGGATCCGTCACATGGCCACCTCCCAAAAAAATTTAAATTTTTTAAAAAACTGGTTTTTTTTTCTAAAGTGTAATAATTTTAAAAAAATGAAAGTGATTTATTTTAAAAAAATAATGTGCCAATGTTATTATAGACCATAATAACACAGACATAAATAACTTAAAATATATAACATATTTTAAAACAATCCCATTTTAATGAATAGTTTATACCACTGTCCTATATAATAATAATAAAAAGCCATGTTCCAACATTATAGCTGACAAATGCACTAGCGCCACAGTCACATGGTGGTGCCTACCACAGAAATGAGAGATTTGTGTGAAACCTGAACCTTCAGCTTCTGCATAATTTGATGATACTTTTTCAACTCGTGGTAAATAATAAATTGAAATAGTAAGATTGAGTATCCAATGTGAAGCATGAACATCTTTTTCGGCTAGAAATTATGTGTTCATTTTAAAAAAATTATTTCTTTTTATCGGTTTAGACACTTTGATTGATATCACTAAATAACTCAAACACTTGAGTCGATATTTCAATATTATTAATTATTAAAATGTCTATTTAGAATATAATATAAAATATTTTTAATGTCTTATTTTATTTTATGAAAAAATAAACTTAGAAAAGTTGTTTAATTAAGAACATGAGTGTATCTTTCTTAAAAGGTATAGTTTCATCTTATATTTTGGAATATTTTGTAATATTATGTTTTTTCATCTAGATAATGTTTTTGAATATTTTGTAAATAGCAGTAAATCCACCCGCTAATATGTTTTGTTTGGATATATATATATATATTTAGGTCACTACTTATTCTAATGTATTTGTTTGTAATATATACAACTTAAATAATTTTTATAATATATTATTAATTTTAAATTATATATTTAATAATAAAATATTTATGTAAATATTATATATATTATTTTGTGATATTAATTGCAAGCATATTATATATGTACATATTATTTATATTTTTAATTTGTATTAATATA